CTGTTCATCATTATACTGGAAGTTCTAGGCAGAGCAATTGAAACAAGAAACAAGAAAGTAAAAACATTCAAATTGGAAAGCAAGAAGTAAAACTATATTCACAGATGACATATTTCTGTATTTATAGAAAATCTACTGGAAAGTTACCATAAGAGAGCTAATAAATGAATTCAGCAAAATTATAGAATACAAGATCAACACAAAAACCTCGGTTATGTTTCTGTACACCAGCAATGAGCAATATGAAAATGAAATTCCATTCCATTTATAATCACATCTGAGAGAATTAAATACCTGGGATAATTTTAATTAAGAAAGTGGAAGACTTGTACATACTCTGTTTTTTAGAAGTAAGTCACTAAGTACAGCCCACACTCAACGGGAGAATTAGGCTCTACCTTTTGAAAGGAGGACTATCAAATAATTTGTTTTAATGTATTTTATTAAATTCCACCATGACTGGGAAAGAGCATGAGGGAGCTGTCTGGCATGCTGAAAATATCCTTCTTCATTTGGGTAGTAATAATGCAGGTGGAAAAAAAATGTGCATGTGTGCATGCATGTTTGTGTGTATCTGTGTAAGTGTGTGAATTTTCACGAAACTGAGTGTTTAATATTTGTGGACTTTATGTAATACCTCAAAAAAATGGATGCTCGCATACAGTGGCTTTATTTGTACTTTCCTTAATATCTACATTCTACTAGTTAATTTGTCTCCTGGGTGTGACTTTATGGGGGAAAATATTGCCACATGGATGCTATGTGAAGAAAATGATACTGTATTTTGTAGCTTCTTTAATCTATTCAAAATCTTTGAGAAAATACTTAAATCTTAAAAGATGACAGAATATGTTTTTGAAATTAGCGAAGTTCTGTTTTATGCACAATCTCTTAGCTGTCATTCTACTGAAATGGAATTTCTGTGTGCAGAGGCTGTTGGAAGCTGCTTGGGAGAAGTGGGTCCTGTAGATTTCTCTACAATAGCGATACAGCATAACAGGGACACATCGTGTACCAAGGCTCTTGAGTTATTTGAAGATAAAGAGCTTCAGTGGACCTTCATACTGCTGACCTACCTGAACAGTACGCTGATAGAAGATTGGTGAGCATTTAATGATACCGTATATCTGATCGCACTTACTTAATCTGACATTCAAGGAGATTGGGACTTCATATAAATTAACATTTCCAGTAACTAAAGTGTTCTCCTTTTAGTTGCCATATTTTCAGTTTCAAATATTTAGCGAAAAGCATAGTATTTTTATTAATTCTCGTAATTACTAAAACCTTACTGTGTGCCGGGTACTTTATATAGTGATGAGTACACAAGACAAGGTTCATATTAAATTTTAGAGTAAACTGGACAAATAAATGATACGAAAACTATCAGGTGGTTCAACACAAAACATTAAGATAGGGGGATATAACTGGGGATAGTTTGGGCACTTGTCAGAATCAAAGATACCATTGTCTTCTCAGCCTTGATCCTTTTAAAATGAGTCATACAGCAGAAATTTTATAATTCCGAAAGTCTTAAGCTAATCGGGTAGGGCTTTCTTTTGCCTATTAATGCTCCTTGCAAAGCAAAATGACAATAGGTAGTGTCATAATTTCAGCTTGCTCAGTGTGAGATTACTTTTGCTTTCTCTTCCCCTCCTTATTTATCTATTTACTTGCAGTTGCCTATTTATCTGTTATTTGTAGACCTTTGAGTGATGAGGGGCTTGGGACACTGACCCTCTGCTCAGTGGAAAGTCCATGTATAACCATTGTTGGCCCTCCCTGTCTGTGGTTCTGCATTCAAGGACTGAACCAACTGCAGATTGTGTAGTATTGTAGTATTTACTGTTGAAAAAACATCTGTGTGTAAGTGGATCTGTATAGTTCAACTCTTGTTCAAGGTTCAGCTGTATTTTTGATATATTTGAGCACCTCATCGCCACCACTAGGGGGCTGATTTCAAAGGATTTTTGCCCACAGTCTTTCCAAGGTAAATAGATGTTTTGCATCTGTTTCCCCATAACAGCCCCGACCCCTTGTCTTGGGGAATAAGTGGTGTCTGCCTGCTGTCTTGTTGTTGTTAATTTAAGGAACATGTATCTTTCTCTCTTTGGTTGTTGTTGTTACAGTAAAAATGCTGACATGGTTTCTTTTCCAACATTTTATTATAAAAATTTTCAAACTTATTTCTATGTTATTTGTTGTAATTTCTCCATTTTCCTTTCTTATTTTGCTTGTTTGTGCCCTCTCTTTTTTCTTCTTTGTGAGTTTGGCCAGAGGTTTGTCGATTTTATTTACTCTTTCAAAAAACCAGCTTTTGTTTTGATTGATTTTTTTCTATTTTTTAATCTCTTCTTTATTATTTCCTTCCTTCTGCTGACTTTTGTGGTTTTTTGCTCTTTCTTTTCTAATTCTT